AATGCCGTTGTGGGCGGGGTGGTGGTAAAATATGAATTTCTTGGCAATAATCCTCAATTTGAATGGCGATCTAAAAAGAGTAATGAACAAAACTTCTTTCCACTCTACGCCCTGAAAAATGTTTCTTTCCTAGCTTACACATTAGGAAAAAAAATTCAGAACCGCCTGGAACTAATGCTTCTACTAGAAATTTTCAATTACCCAGCAGTCTTTGATTATTAAAAGGATTTTGTGCTGGATATCTGCGCTGACTATACAGAAATTCACCTGTAACTCCGCTGCTCCATGCCAGTCCTCACGGAAGTGCCCTGTATACATGAAACGTGCGCTGCAGAAGGCGTGGGGGTATATAGGTGCATATATGTGTGTATCTATACATACTGCAGTAAAGCAAATTATGAAATATGGTGTGATGACACCACACAGGCACCAATGCCGGGCTCCAGCGGGGTGAGCGCTAAACCCCCCTCCGCTCCAGGGGAGCCACGAGCCCACCCTCGCGTGCTGCCCGACCGCCCCCGCGACGGCCGCGCTGGACCTGGGCTGCATTTGAGCTGCTCCACCCCTGCTGCTCATCCCAGCCTGACTGATTCTCCTCTGCTTTGTGGTCTGGCACCCTATGGGGTTACAGCTGGGACCCCTAAAATACCCTTCTGCTACCCGGGCTGCAGACAGACGGCCTCGCTCACAGCCCCAGGGTTTCAACAGGTTCAGGAATACTTGACCAGGGTCATCCAGAAGAAAACGAGCAGAGCTGGGCAGCCCTCAGGCACAGATGTCTCCCATGAAAGCAGACGGGGTTCAGTAGGTGCCTCCACTGCCCGGCTCCAGCCAGGACCCCCCTTCCCTGCCGTGGTGGGGACCAGCCCGGTGACACCGCGCTGTCCCCACGCCGGCCATCCCTGCCCCTGGGCTGGGAAGCACGCTTCGTTCCAGCCCACGGCACGCTCTGGAGTCATGCTTTTGGGACATGTCATGTGTCTCAGATTACCTAGATGCTCATCGCTGCTAAGCGGGGAGAAATGCAATAAATAAAATTGTCTGAACTCTGCAGGAAAGCAGAGAACTGGAACACACTTCCCTGCTCTCTTGCCTTTTCCCAGGGCTGTGCTGGGAGCTTTTATTCCTGCCAGTGCCATCCCAAGAGCTGCTTCATGTGGCCTCTTCCTCTGTCTCGCAGAACGCTCTGTAGCTCACACAACTGCACACCAACAGCCAAGCGATGCTTCGCCCCCCCCCCAGCTCAGTATTGATCTTTTAAGCCTCTGTCGAAAGGGAACTGCAAGCAATAATCTCCAAATGTAGCGAAACAATTCAGGAGCCCAAGTCTGGGTGCCAGAAGCCAGAGCTCTGCCGCAGAACCTCCGGGCAAACCCGGGATGCTGGAGGATGAGCCCTTCCTCTGCTGACCGATGGGAGCGGAGACCGTGGCTCTGCGCCAGCCTCTGCCCCGGGGCATTTGGGCCCTTTCCCAGGAGAAACCCCCAGCTACTGAGGGTTTTAAGATACTGGAGCTCGGCCCCAGTGCCCTGGGTGTTGCTTCGGTGCGTCAGAGCCTCCCTGGACAGGGCCACCGGGCGCGGGTGGAAACTCCAGCCGAGAGCAGATCTTGCTCTCACCGCTTCAGCTTGGCGTCGCTTCCAGTGACCACGGCCCTGTCGCATTGCGCCGTGGCAGAGAGCACAACAGCAGGTCCCAAAACTGACAGCGGAGGTTACTTTTCAGTACTTTCTGTTTTCATATTCTAGAAATAAAATTAAAAAAAAAATCTAAAAATGTCTTTAATTTGCTAGGTCAGTTGAAGAATAACCTTGCACTGAGCTAACTTTGAGACAAACTCCTTCCGTGTTTGGTTTATTTTTTTTATATGGGACTCTGGTTGCAGAGGAGAACATAAATCAAAATGACAGAAAATTGTATTCTGTAGCTGAATATTGAGCTGTCAGCAGTCTTGGCCAGTGCCCAAACTCGCTTGTAAAAAATCAGCAACAGCCTTGGGAAATGCTCTCTCCAGTAAAGCAGGACTCCCTGGAGCGGCTGAGCACCACAGCCCGGACGCGCACACAAGGAACATTTTCCAGCCCACGTCGACCACGACAGCTGTGAAATGTGGCACCTCGCTTCTGCATCGCCTCTTCACGGCCACCTTGCTGGTACGGGCAAGAAGTGGCTTAGCGTCCTCGGAAATCCAGGGTGGTCCTTCTCGGTCCCCACTGCGGTTGCAAGGGCGCGGGGACACACGAGCTGCGCCCCCCGCTCTGTGCACGTTAGGACAACACGTTCTTCAGAAGAAAAGGCCACCCAAAACGCCCGGTGCATTACAACACATTCAAGGTATGAAGTATCTTCAGCACGATGCAACACGGACAGAGGTCTTGAGGGTTGGTGGTTACTCACGTCCATCAAATCGTCCTCAGGAGATGACTAAACGTCCTCCTCTCCCAGGGACCGTTTATCACTGTCAGCGCCGCAGAAGCTGAGCAGCTATGTATAGCCCCATGTGCTCGGAGCCAGATCCTCCGCCCATACTAACTGGTTAGTTCAGATCAATGCTTCACTCTGAGACATCAAGGAAGCAGCAGGGTGCTGCAGAAAACTGGCTCCACAATTTTAACTCTTCACTCGGTCACTTGGTACGAGAAGCTCCAGCACGGTATCAGGGCTACTGATAGCAGAAAGCAATGGCTTCCTCCTGGCGAAGCACAAAACCAAATCCTAG